GTACCGGGATCAAACTCAGTTCCTTGTGCTTGCAAGGCAGGCGGCAGAACCACTGAGCTAAATCCCCGGCCCCAAATTTTATTTCTTGATGGTAATTATTTAGGTAACGTAAAACTAAAGATACAGTACAAATATTTTGAAATGAGAAGCATCTTTCCATATTTGCTTTTCATGCACCTTGTGTTTTCTAACAAAGGTTTTTCTATACATTAAATTCTTCAGACATTATGTGAGAATTTCCACACCTGCTGGCCTAGACAAAAAATCACTTCTATAGTCCTTTCCCTACCTCAATAAAGTATCAACCCTACCTACCCAGATGCAAGAACAACTTTCTGCAAGTGTAACAATATTTCCATTCTTATATACTAAAAATAATGGCTACTCATTGTAGTAAATACTTTACATATATTATTTGGCTTAATCTCCAGACATTTTATACACCAGAAAATGGAGTCACAGAGAGATTAACTCACCAAAAGTCAAATAGCTGAAGTACTAGAGCTAGAGTCTGACAAGGATAGGGTTGCTTCCTTAGCTTATTTATGCTCTTAATCATTACACATCCATAAAAAGTCCTGACAATTGTCATTTCTATAAAGTACCTGCATGTAAGTTATCTATCCTTGCAGTCTCCTTCAGCTTTTCTATCTTTAGCCTATATATACATTTTTTCCTCCCTCCAGAGACACAGGCTTTCTGATGGGAGTGTTTTTTTATTATGGAGTGTGAGAAAAATCTCATGAACATATATGTACATAAAGCTAGATGGATTAGCTTGAAAATATTAAAACAAGTATTACAATAAAGCTTTACATTACAATGGACAATTCTGGGTTACAATGTATTACTTTCATTTTTACTCTCAATTTCTAATGCTTTAGACTATACAAATTTAAAAATATGAATCCCATGGCTCTAACCATATTACTAGTATTATCTCCAATGGTGTTACACCACAAAAAAATTAAGTACAGGTCTAATGTGAATTGGCCGAAAAAAACCCTCTAAAAATCAATTCCTTATTTCCAAATGTAGTCTGTTAATAAAAAATTAAGATGACAGATATAGTTTGCTTTCCTATCTACTGGTCTTTACGCTGGAAGGAATTTTTAGTGAACTACTGAAATACACAGTATTACAGAGACATTTTTCCCCATTCTAAGCTATATTTATGTTTTAGGGTAGAGTCAGCAATATACTCCACAGGTATCTCAATCTCTTATTTGAGGATGGATTTGTTAAAATGCTCTTTATCTTTCATGATGTTTCTTAAATAAAAAGAACAGGGGATGGAGCAAGCCCCAGCAACCACCTTTTAAAATGGGTGTCAATTGCATTGACACTTAGCACTGAGTGGAAGTGACTCTTATTGGGCTCCCAGTATAGCTGTGTCTTTAACTGTCATTTCCCCAGATAAAGCCCTCATTATCTCTTTTTGGGACTGCTACAGTAGCCTTCTGCACAGTCTCCTTGCTTCTACTCTTGTAGCCTCCAACCCATTATCTAACATGAGCAAATGATATTTAAAAAATATGAATCACCTCATGGCAATTCCCAACTAAAACCTTGTGGAATAAAATCCAAAGCAATCTCTTCTTCTCATAACCTTTGTGGATTCAAACCTCCAATATAGTACCCTTCTGCACTGTGTCAAGGCTTGCCTGTATGGCCAACAGCACACATCAGAAATGATTTATCACTTTGAAAAGATTTCTCATTCCAAAGGAAGCAAGCTACACAGTAGTATGAACTGCAGTGTGGAGAGGATGATGTGGACAGGAATTAAAGCCTCTAACCAGCAACCAGTGAGGAACTGAGGCTGCTGGCACCCTCATGAGTGAGCTTGAAAGTGGATTCTCCAGTCAAATCTCATGAAGGCCCTTAAGCCAGAAACAACAAGCAAGCACTGCCAATTACAAGACTCAGAAAAAGTGCACACTAGTTTACAGTTTTAATCTGTTATGTTTTAGAATAATTGTTATATGCCTCATCTTCCCAATTTTGGAATGGTTAGTGTTGTATCTCCTTCAATGATTTTTTTGCCCCTGACTTATAAATACTGCTTTTTTCATATAGTACTGGGAATTGAGCACAGGGCCTCACATATACTAAGTAAATTCTACCACTGAGTTGCATTCCCATATTTTGAGATGGTCTCGCAAAGCTGCCTAGGCTGGTTTCAAACTTGAGATCCTCTTGCCTCATCCACCCCAGGAGCTGTGATTACAAGCATGTGCCACTGCAACAAGCATGTGCCACTGCACTTGGCTTACATTCTTTCATTTCATCTAGCATCCTATTTCCTTCATAGTACTAAGTGCAGTCTGTAATTTCACCACACATATATAAAAATGTAAGCCCCCCACATAAGACTGTAGGCTGTGAAAAAGCAGGGACCATAACCATCACATTCTTCACTGTATCTCCTACATCTTTTCAGGGCATGGCACAAACAAGACCTAAATGAGTATTTACTGAGTGAATGAACTCAGTGAATGAATTGAAAGCTTTCGCACAAACAAAACAAACATAAAACTCACTTTAGTAATGGAGGCCAGACATTTTTACTATAAAAGCATTGAGTAGAAAGGGAATCACTGTCAGCAGAAATGCAATTTTTAAGTGATAATTAGGAGACAGTACACTTACTTGATTTTGACTATAAGAAGCAGGTCATTGAACAGGAAAAGATGCCGCTCCTGCCTCTGCAGGCCTCTTTTGAGTTCTACTCGACCGTCAATCAGCAGAGTCCGACTGGAGCACACAAATGATGACAGAAATGCACAGGTGTCAACACTAGCAGAAGGACTTTCCCTGTGACAAATCAAACAGCACAAATCAGTCAAATGATCAACTGTAGCACCAACTTTTTAAAAAATTAAAAGCATAGCTTAAAGTTAGTAAATAGAAAACTCTGTAATTTTTTAAATGCAACATTGTAGTATCCTTGCTGACTTCCCAGCTTATTCTTCACACAGTAGTCTTTAAACTTCATTGTAAAATTTTTGAAACATAAAGTTGACAGTTTTATATTAAACATAAGTATACCTTACCCATCCTAGTCTCTATCACTGAAACTTTACTATATTTCCTCCAGATATTTAGGCCAACTATCTATCCTATTGTTATTTTTGGTATTTCAGTAGTGACTGCTTAAACAGTGAATACTTCAGTATATACATGTCAATAACTAGAGCACAATCTTTAGAATTTTTCTCACTATAAAACATACACTGTGAAACACATCAATCTTAAGTATTATATTCATTAAATTTTGACAAATGTATTCAATCGTGTAATCTATCTACACTTCTACCAAGATATACAAAATTATCATTACTCCAAAGAGCTCCTTCTTGCTCCTTTTTTCATTATTATATTTATCAGCTCAAGATGGTCTCCAGGTTGTTTACTCCTAGGCTGTTTAATTCTTCACTGCAGGCTGTGACCCTTTAGAACAAATGCTTACTAATGCCAAATTCAAATTTTATATGTCCAATTATGTAAAAAAATAATCCAAACAAGCAGATTTTAGGCAATAGTAGCCTGTCTGCTTTGTGTATTCAGCACCTGAAGGCCAAGGAAAATAAAGTACTATATCTGGTTATGAGAGTCTAAGTTTCTACTGCCCTCTGAAGCTATCTGGCCCTTACAAATCTTCCACTACCCGGGGGTTCTTTGCCTGCCTCATTTTCTACATGACCATAAACCTTGAAACAGTCTTTGCTGTGAAGACTTTTTAAAAAAAAATCCTAGGAATTTAATCCATGGCCTCCACACTGAGGTACTACATTTCAGCTTATAAAAGAAAAAAAAAAATTTTCCCCCATTTTGAAACAGGGTCTTGTTAAATTACTGTGTTGCTCAGGCTGTGCTCAAACTTGTGATCTTCCTGCCTCCACTTCCCAGAGTACTGGGATAACATCACTATATCTGATGGGATTGGCTCTCTTATACAGCTAGTCCCACAATCTCTTTTTTCTTGGCCAGTACCAAATCTCTCAAATGCCTTACACCAGTCAACTGCCACTCCATCACTCTAGAACCACTTTATTTCTTCCTTTCTAAGAAACCTAAAGGTTAGTTTTGTCTGTTAGAATTTTATACATATGACACCAGAGTATATACTTTTATGCATGATATTTTTAATTACCATGTTACATTTATAAGTAACTCACTAGAAGATTTTACTAAGTATTATTCAGTGTACAGATATACCAGGGTTTATCTTTCTACTATTAACAACGTGTTTTTTAACTTATTCTGAATAAATCTGTTTCTATAGAGTGGACCCTGGAATTACAACTGGTCTGGAACAACTTCGGTTATGACTGGGATTTTAGATTTAATCTACAACCAAAGTCTTGAGTTACAACCTGAATGCCAGCTGCTGATGCTTCTAGGTGATCTCAGATACAGATTTAACCTTTAAAGAGTTCTGGAAGAAACATTACAACATCCTTTCCTATGTGAAGTTAATTGAGAAATCCTGGGCCAATGACTTTCTGAGAACATTGAGATCTGCCTGTGTACAGGAGAGGACTTTGAAGGCTGAGGAGAGGAGCTCGAGTCTTCAACTGATCAACCTGAGTTACAACCAGACCTTGAAAACAAATTGAGTTTGTAAGTTAAGGGTTCATTGTACTAGTCTTTTTGTGAGCTATGTGTTCATGTTTCTCAGCTAAGTAACTCAGAGCATAATTGTTCAGTCACATAATAGTTGTATGTTTAATTTTAGAAAAAACTTCCAGTTTGTCTTCCAGTGTAGTTACAAGAGTTTTATATTCTCAGCAACACTACAGCAAAGTTCCAGTCACTTTACAAACTTTGCCATGTGATTTTTGTCAGTCTTTTGAATTTTAGCCAATTTAGTGGATATATAACACTATTTCACTAAGATTTTAATTTACATTCCTATGATGATGAGTTTTATGTTCTTACTGGCCATTTGTGTACCTTAATTTGTGAGTAAACTGTCTTCAAGTCTTTTACTCATTTTATAAAGAAGGTTATGTGGGGCCAGGGATTTAGCTCAATGGTTCTACCACCTGCCTCATAAGCACACGGACCCAAGTTTGATCTCCAGTACCACACACACAAAAAAAAGTTATGTGTCTTTTTATTACTTAATTGTAAAATATTGTTATGTATTCTGGATATGATTTCTTTTTCAGGTATGCGTTCTGGAAAAATATTTTCTCTTAGGATGTTGCTTGTTTATACACTTCCAATGTTTTTCATGAAAAGCTTGTAATTTTGATGAAGGCCAATTTATCAATTTTTTTAGTTTGGCATGGACCTAAGAAACATGGTGCCTCAGTCCTAGGCAAGTATACAGCCCTTGGAAGAAATGTCAGAGTAGCACCTCTGTTAAAAATTAATGACTGAAGATCGCTTCTCGGCCTTTTGGCTAAGATCAAGTGTAAAAATTAATGACTGAAGGCATACATCTTTTCCTAGGATTGCCTATTCTGTTGCACTTAGCTACTTGTTCATTCTTATGCTAGAACCACATTCTCCTACTGTTTTTCTTTCTAGTAAATCATGAAAGTAGATAGTATAACTTCATCAGCTTTACTTTTTTCTTGAGATTTCTTTGGATAATCAAGGTCTTTTGTACTTCCAAACAAACTGTAAAGAGAAAGAAAAAAAGAGGAAAAGGAGGAAAAATGATCCATCTCTAATAAACTGAGTCTGAAATTATCTTGGGCTAGATGGTGCAAGGGAATCAGGCATGCACCTAGCACTCAGGAGACATGTTAGAAGCAGATATACAGACTTGATAATCACACTGAGATGGATGAATAACAATAAAGGAAGAACCAGAACTTCCCAGAGAAGGAGCTCAAAATAAGAAAAAAAGCAGAGACACATCACTGAGACAAGATCAATGGAAGAAGGAAAGAGAAGCTATAAACAAGATGAGGAGTGGGGAATGACACAGCAGAAGAAAAGGGACAAAAGGCAGTTGTGTCTGTAGTGCCGACAGTGGTAGAAGGTATAAGAAGATGAGATCCAAGAACATGTTTTGGAGAAAAAAATAATCACTTGGTCATTAAGACCTTCAGAAAAACAATTCCAGGAAAATAGTAAGGCAGAACTCAAATGCCCTGGTGTCTGAAGAATGAGAAAAGAAATAAAGAACTAAAAGCAGTAACTCTGGTTTCTTTTTAAGAGCCTAATGCCTTTTACAAGCTGACATTAGATTCTAAAGGGGTGGATACTAGATCTGGTGAGGAAGGAAAACTAACAAAGAAATAATTAGCTTTGAAAATAAGGGATATATTTCCTCACTTTACAGATTGGAAGCTATTTAGGGTAGTCAATGCATAGTGCTATTAAATGAAAGTGACTTATAGTAAGTGTAGTTTCAGAACATGTACTTTTATTAAAAATTCCATGTAGTCTTTCAAATGGGAAAATCACTTAATATACACTTAGTTCTCTTCTCTACCCAAAGTTACTGAACTCAGTAGTTGAGGACTTCATGGCTTGAGTGAAGGAAGAGCCAACCCAAACCTTGTGTCGAGTAGTATTATATGGCAATTTACATGGTTGCCTCAGTTTCATCTCTAAAGTAAGGTAGTTGGACAGAATTATAAAACCTTTAAGTTTCTTTTATAATTTATATATGAGACTAACTACAACAACATGTACCTACTAGGCAGAAATAAAAGACTACTAATGAGAGGGATACAGAAATGGATACCATTAGTATCTCCACAAAAGCAACCCTATCTTAAAGTACTATTTATAAACACGGCATACTTGAGAGCCACCTCAAAAAGACAATGTTGAGTTGAAATTAAAAAGAAAAGGAATAACAAGAACTAAGAGTTTTTTTTAATCAGTCTAATTTTTAAGAAAGCCAACAAGAACTTATGAGGGTCTTCACCAACTTTAGGGTGTAAGAGGCCGTGAAATAACACCCCAACTGTTTGGTTCACTTGGCAGCTATTAATAAATAGAAATTTTGACTTTGGGGCATAGTATCTGATTCTACAATCTTTTAAGTCTTTTAAAACTACAATTTAAAAAAGACTTCCCGAGACTTCCAAGAAAATGGAGGAGCAATGAGCAGCAGTAAATAAGCCTCTCTGAGATTGGAAGTCCAGATGCTGGAGGATAGCAACTTGGGGAAGAAAAGGAAAGACACCTAAGACTCAGGAAAGTTCTGAAGAGTGAATTGGAGTCCATGGGGAGAGTGAGGTGATGGATCGTTAGGCAAAAGAGGGATGTGGCAAATACATTCTCCCTTATTCCTGGCTGGAGGTGTGAGAGAGGAAGCTTGAGCCTACAGAGGTGTAATGATGGCTGGAGATCCTAGAGGCCTCCAGGGAGAAAAGCACCAGGAGCAGAGCAGAGCAGTAGATAGGGTGAGCTTCAATGGCTGGTGAGAGACTCCAATCCAATGTCCCCAGGAGAGGGTGATTAACTAGATGCCATTCAGGAGTGAGGTATCTAAAACCCTACAAGAAAACAACCTCAAAACCAGATTAATGTACCCCACAAAATGATTTTTCAAAATTGGAGAAATAAATTCCATGACAAGAATAAATGAAGAAATTCATGAAAGAAGCACTCTAAAATGCTGAAGGACATTCTAAAAAGAGATAATGAAGACTACAACCCCATGAACCCCAACAGAATATATCCATCAGGCAAGGCAAGCAATTAAACAGATGGGAAAGAAAGGGAACCAACAATGGGAAAATAGTATCACAAGGATGTCAATACATATCAGTTATAACCATAAATGGCAATGGTCTCAATTTACTAATCAAAAGAAAGAGACCAGCAGAATGGATCAAGAA